CCTTGTCAATGTTTAGATCAAACAGAGGTTCAACTCACCCGATTTTGTTCTCGACAGAGTATTCATATATATTTTTACCCTAAAAATACAATTTCACACTTGACTGATTTGATATAAATGACAGAGATTATTGCCACGTACAAGAATCTGTAGACTCATTTCACAAAAACTTGCACTGTATTCGTTCAGGCATATAGAAGCGCTATAAACTGTAAGTCAACAGCAAGGCAGCGACGTGTACAAACCTCAATTAGCAATTGAATATTGGGCAAAAGGCGTTAAAAGTAGCAAGGATAAACGAAAAGAGAGTTATATTTATACGTTTTGGAAGTTGAATGTGATCATTTATCAGTGAATTGGGTAAGTACACTATCGTGCCACTATTTGTGCACACTTCTGTTCCAAACACTTAAACGTGTAGACAAGTTTCATATAGGTTGATCAAAATAATGTTAAATATACTTGATTACGTGGTGTTCTACTTTGGAGGTTGATATAGCATGCCTTCTCTTTGAGCATTTGACGTATACATGCTGTTAAAGTGACTCGGTAACATTGTTGAAGGTTGATGAAAAACATTGCTTAATTTTTGTATAAAATGTTACTTATTATATTCCTTCTACTATACTAACCCTCTGACATGCAAAAAAAATTCCTGAACAAATTCTCAAACCACAAAGATATCTATAGTTTTCTTTGAAGGCGTCGATGTGAGGCACCCTCTAACAGTGAATAACAGTAAATTCTCCCAACCATTTTTGAATTTTCCCAACCGTTTTTCCGTGAGAAAAATACATAAAACAGGCTATAAAAATCTGTCAACACTTAACTGTCCTGGAATGAAATGTAGAGCAATTTTATTGCTTTGTGACGATTTACATTCACCTAAAATGTAATTAAATTGTCCTTGTCTTGATGCTGAAGAGGCTTTGACAAGTAGCAGAATAGAAGTAGAATAATATAGTTGGGAGAATTAAGGAATCGATCAGATCAGTTTTTCCCAATTTGTACCATGAATAATGATCCGTTTTCACTCAAACTTTCAGATTATCTTTAATTGTACATCTAGCATTGACGTCACTACCTTAGTACCGCTATCTTTCATCTGAACAATGTTACAAAGTCCCTTTAATCTATTGACAAAGCTGAAACAAAAAGTGTTCATGGTCCATTGAAATGTCAATTTGTGCAGTTTAATATAGGTTATGTTGATGATCAACTGTAATTTATTATGTAGGGTTTATTTATTTTTGGGAAGTAAAATAACCATTTCAGGTTTTTATTTTTCATAATGATATAAACATATTCACATTTTCAGCATTTGCCTCCATTTCTGGAGGGATATACATGGTTTTATAATATTTTCTTCTATCTGTAAACGATAATTTAATAGGTAAATCAAAATATGAAGAAGTCTCTCTTTTGGTCTTTTCTTTTTAAGTTCTTTTCCAACAAAGCTTTTGTATATAGTAAAAAGTGCATAATTCAAAATAATATCAACACTTTTTTCCTTCTTTGAATTAAAATCAATACCAAACAATACATGACATGGTTTCAAATTAAAATTAGACATGAAATATTTCTTTATATCCCTTTAAACTTCACTCCAAAACTTAATGACTTCGTTACAAATAAAGGAACATGTGCATAAAATCACCTGTTTGATTACAATATAATAAAATTGCTCAGTGGCATTTACCTTCCATTTAAACAAATTATATGGTACTGCATTTTCAGTTTAACTTAATAAAATTTGGATTTGACTTTAAAAGATTATTATTATTATTATTATTATTATGAATTTGAAATTTAAATTAATTAGTAAACTGTCTTTTATACCTTTTAACTTAAATAACCAATTCAGGTACATATTCAATTTCCAAAGTATTACGGCAAAATTCCTCCCCTCTAGATTCTTCGATTTTTGTATTAATCAACTCATGATATATTCTTTTAACTGTCAACTGTCTAACTGAAATCATATCCTCAACCAATTTTATATCATTATATACAAACGCTGTGGATCTAAATGTTATATACTCTCTATGTTCTACATTCATATCTGCAAGTACGAACACATATGTTGAATAATTGTCTCGCACTGCCTCACGGTTATATTGGGAGCATGTGATTGTATTCGATGAAGGCTTGCAGAGCAATTCTTGGACTATAATTATCTTTTCTACGCCCAGCTTTAAACCTTAATTCTCTTCGGGTGCTTAATCAATTGTGCGTTATGTTTAATGTTGGTTAAACTTCATGCGTCATGTTGTGGTGTGCACAGTACAAGCTTCTTATATACGTATCTTACATAATTAAGTTTTGTTTAGTAGTATTTTAGTGTATTTTGTATACTTTTTTAAAAACTTTTGTTTTTTGTTTTCGTTTTTTTGTTTTGTTGAAATGGTACAACAATTTCCATGCGTTCGCTGTAGTAAATGTGTTAAAGCAAATCAGAAAGCACTTCTCTGTACTTCTTGCCGAAACTGGGTACACATATCATGTTCAGAAATCTCTGTAAAGAGTTACGATGACCCTAACGAGCATTTTGTAAATTTGGAGTGTTCAAGAAGTCTTTTAAACCATCTTCCAAATTATATTGTGAATAATTCAGAGTCCGACGTCGACGATTCTAATAACATAGATCCCTCATGTAAATCTGGTGAGAACATATCTTTAAAATATGATCAACTTTCTAGTAAAGGGATTAAACTTGTCCACCTGAATATTGTAAGTCTTTTGAAATATCATGAAGAAATCAAGCAAATCATGTTTGAAAATGAAATACAAGTTCTTGCTCTGAATGAGACTAGATTAGACAGCTCTATTGCAGACAGTGAAATGTACATCCCCCATTACTCATTACTTCGTAAAGATAGGGATAGAAATGGGGGTGGAGTGGCCATTTATGTCCATGAGTCTATTCATATCAACTTAGTCATGATTCTCTTGAACGTTTAGAAGCATTGTGCATAAAAGTTTGTTTGAAGAACACGAAGCCAATTATTTTTGTAAACTGGTATAGACCACCAAATTCAAAAGTCGAGGTCTTTAATCACTATGAGGACTTTTTGGTTTTTGCAAATGGTCTCAATGGGCAACTCATTATTATGGGTGACATTAACTGTGATATCACGAAAAAACCTTTTGAAGGATATACGTAAGTCTATAATCAAATAAATTATATATATTGTTTGAAACAGGTAAATGATACATTGTATACAAGAGTAACCGATAGATCCTGCATACTTGTTGACCATATGTTAACGGATTATCCCGATAAGGTGGAATCGTTTGGTGTTATTAAAAATGGTATGAGTGACCATTATATCAGTTACTTGGTGTGGAAATGTAAACATACTTCCCAAAGTGAAACATTTGTATCGTTCAGAAAGTCGAGAAATGTAGATTTAGAAGCTTTCAGGTCTGATTTGCGTAATCAAAACTGGAAGAAAGTAAAAGAGTTTAGTGATATAAATGATGCAGTTAGTGAATGGGAAAAGTTGCTGTTGGAAGTAGTTAACAAGCATATGCCATTAAAGACAAGACGAGTGAGAAAAAAACCCCTCCCCATGGATGAATAGTGAAATACTTACTTTAATGAAACAGAGAGATAAAGCAAAACTGAAAGCCAAAAAGAGAAACAGTGATGACATATGGAAACTGTATAAACGCATGAAAAATAAAGTTACCACCGAGATAAGAAAATCCAAACGTAAACACATATGTGATAAACTGTCTGAAGTCACCAATAGAAATGAATCTTGGACAACACTCAAAAGTTTAATGGGTAGTTGTAATTCTTCTAACAGCACTTTTCCAAAGAAAATTCAAGTGTAATAGCGAATGAGTTTAATAACCACTTTGCAGATATAGCGACAAATGTATGCACAAATAACACAAGGGCTAATAACCGGCTTTATTCCCATGGTGAAAAGGTTTCTGACAGAAAATTTAAATTTGTTAATGTATCTCAATCTTATGTCTTGAAACAAGTAATGTCAATGAAAACATAAAAGTCCGTCGGGTTAGACGAAATTTCTATGTATATTCTTAAAAAGTCAATATCTGAAATGATTGAATCTTTTAACTTTTTAATCAACAAATCTTTATCGGAAGGGGTTGTGCCTGACAAATGGAAAGTCGCAAAAGTAATACCAATACACAAAAAAGGAGATAAACTTGATTTCAATAATTATAGGCCGATCTCACTGTTGCCTTGCGCCTTTAAAGTTATGGAAAGAGTCGTTCAGCGACAATTGCTTGATTATTTAAAGTGTCAACACTCCACCGTGACAGCACTAGCCGCAGTCACAGATGATTGGTTTTACTCTATCGATAAAGGTAATTACATTGGAACAATTTTTGTAGACTTGCAAAAAGCATTTGATATGGTTAATCACCTAATCCTTGTATCTAAACTTGAATCTATGGGTGTAATTGGTGTAGAATTACAGTGGTTCAAACACTATTTATCAAACAGAAGAATAAGAACTTCGGTAACTACGAAAGGTGTGCCGCAGACTATAATCACCTTGTTGTTGTACCTCTTTATGTATGTTTATATGATGTTTGTTTTGTTTGTTTGTTTGTTTTTGTTTTTGTTTTTGTTTTTGTTTGTTTTTGTTTTTGTTTTTGTTTTTGTTTTTTTGTTTTGTTTTTTTTCTTTTAAGTATTTGTATTAAGTTTTCGACTGATACTATGTATATTTTGTATATTGTAAACTGGCCCCATGGAAGACCAGCAGCAACAATTATAGTTGCAGCTGAATATGGGCAACCAGCCGTATATTTGTATTTGTATCTGATTTTTTTTATTATACGGAAATAAAAACAACAACAACAACATTCCCAAGTAAGAAGAAGAGGACGAAGAAGAAGAAGAATGGAAACATTAATAGCACCCACACCACGGTTACAGCATGCCTACCCTTCCTACCAGTTCCCATTTTTATTTAACACATGGGTTTGAAGAGAGCCAAATGAAATACAATGTCTTACTACAGATCTAGAGTACATAGATGTACTTTAGGCCACTTAAGAACAATAATAAGTTTCATGTGCCCCCCTCTATCTCTCTTTCTTTCTGTCTCTCCATTTCTAGTTGACATTTCGGTACAATGGGAGTAAGTAGGGAGTATCTGATCTTCAGTGTAGCGACGATTGCTTCCGCTACCTTTGTGATTCTTACCATATATTCGGGAATGGAAAAACATGAAAAAGGTAGATATTATGTTTATTTTTCTCTTTTAATCATAATTTTGATTTTATTTAAAGGAGAGGGGGCTTGGGTAATACCTCAGTCATATCTCCAGACCGACTCAACACTGATCTATGTTGGCCTTTAGGGATAATGTAATGCTTTTTTTTTCGGGCTGTTACCGGTCTGATGTCGGTCTCAGTGGTATGACTAGGGTAGATCAGGCCCCCTCTTAAATTTTTAAAAATGCGATTTATTCTAATTAATCGCAAGTCCGCCAATCAATCGCAAGTTGGCAGTCTCTCATCTCGTATGTGCATAGTTGCTATTGATATCAATCGCAAATACGATTAATCGCAACTGTTCATAAGACAGGGCCTAAATAGAAGCCCCTACTACATAGTCAACACGTCCCTATGTCCACGAAGTGACGGATGAGCGCGCAATTAAAAGAAAGTTAGTTTCGAATAAATCGCTTTTTCAAACCATAATCTCAACCTCTTTATTGTATCAAGGGCAAATAAAATAATGTTATATCCTGGGATACAACATATCTCAATATTTAGTTCTATGTTTAATTATTTCCATATTTTCTTATACAGTGCGTCCCAGAAAAAACGAAACCGAGAAGTATCGATGTTTTATCATAACTTAATCACAACCATAATTAATGAATGATACATATTTGGAAAGCTTAGAGTCTCCTCTTTCAGTTGATGCTACTCCGATGATGCATATTTCAGGCATGAGTGATTAAAAGCAATTTGAAGGAAGGAAACCAAAAAGACATTTGGCGGGCGGTATCTGAATTTCGAAGTAAAATTCACATTTCTAGAAAGTTGAGTTTCTGCCCTTTCGTATGACACCTCAATCAGGAAAAATGAGCGAGGAATAACAAAGTTCTGTTTCTTTAAAGTAGCCCTTACATTTTCATAATTTTAACAAACGAATTCGTTTTCACTGGGTGCCTGCCGTAGCAAAAAGCAGATTTGACAAAAGACTTAACTCCGTTTCGTTGACAATCAGCCATGCAAGAAGACTCTCGTCTACGGCTGATTGTCAACGAAACGGAGTTAAGTCTTTTGTTAATTTCGTTTATTGATACGGCAGGCAGCCAGTGAAAACGAATTCGTTTAATAAAATTATGGAAATGCAAGCACTACTTTAAACAAACAGAACTTTGTCATTCCTCGCTCATTTTTTTTCAATTATAGTTGTGATTAAGTTATGATAGAACATCGATAGAAGACGACTTACATTACCATTCTCGACTTCTTAATCCTTGTCTGAATTCAGTCCCCCCCCCCCCTCCCCCTTCCTCCTCCTGGGCGAAGCGCGGAAGCTTTGACGTATTATTAGACAAAGACGATTCGCTGTACCTCAGTTCCCGACTCTTTTTCCCTCTTTCTTCGTACGTCCTCTTACTTTTTTTCTTCTCTTTCTCTCTCTCTTTTTTTTTGGCCGGCGTTTTTTGGGGGGCGACCGCCCCCACCGCCCCCCTGGCTACGCGCCTGTTAGGAAGATAACGTTACCACTATTAGACTACGGCAATGTATTATAAGAATGAAGGGCCACCACCAACCCTAGCAGGGTTGTTATGACTTTCTTCTGTCCTTCAATCAGAGCGATAATCCTTCCGTCTGTGGACCACGCTGTTGAGGTTTTTTCATAGGCGATGTTGGCTGTTTTATTGGCATTTTCGTGTTGGTTATATTATACGCACAACCAGCCGGCCCATGTATTGTCATTTTTAATTAAATAATTAATTAACGGTCACCGTATTTTTTTGAAAGTGGAGCTGAATTGGTATGATTATTTTGGGGTCTAAAGTTACCTTCATAGCAATTTTAGGTTCTAAAAGGGCACTAGAAATGTCATAGATAAGAATAAGAGCGTTAACCATGCACTTTGAAGGCATTTGCGGTCTGAAAACAGAACTCAACTATCCCTTTAAGTGATGCACAGATAAAATAACCCGGAACTGCGAGATAGAGTACACTTTCCTCTTTCTGTAGCTGCTTTATTATTCCCCTGTTTGAACTTTTACATAGCTTGGCTACATCGTTTAGATTAGTTTTATTTTGTTTCCTATTTCATCATATATATATATATATATATATATATATATATATATATATATATATATATATATATATATATATATATCTATATATAATAATAACATTCAATTTGGATAATCCTTCGTCACCCTCATTTTACAAATAATAATTAAAACGAGGGGGATTTTTCATTAGTGATCAAAATACTTTAAACAGCTGAATGAAGGATTAAACTTTCTGCCAAAGTAATGGGATTATTTAGAAAATTAGTAATAACAAATGTGGATATGTTGCCTTGCATTCCTCCGCCATTCTACACGCGAAATTAACATTAGAGTTTTGGTGTAGCTCATAGACCAAAATTATAATTAGAGTGTCTAAATCATTTAGGGATTATGCGAGATTTCTCATATTGGCTAGATGTAAAAAGTGATTTTAAAAAAACACGTATTTATTTTCTTTAACCATGTACAGATCGAGTTTTACAACCAAGAATCACAATGTCACAACGGTCCAACGATCACTTTCTGCAGAACTGTCCGGCAACCCAGGTATAAGAATGCTCAGGAGCAGGCGCGTACGCAGGGGTGGGGTGTTTTGGGAGTTGAACCCCCCCCCCTCAATTTTTGTTATGTATGTGTTTTTTAGAACCCCCCCCCCTTCAAAAAAAAAATGAATACATTTTTTTGTGGGTGCTAAAGGGTGACAAAAAAACTGAGCTTAACCCCCCCCCCCCCCCCCTACAAAACGAAATATCGGTAGGCATAATTTTCCAATTCCCCCTCCCTTATTCAGCGGCTGGCTGAGTCCTTCGAAATTTTCGGCGCGATTTTCAAATTTTAAAAGCCCCTCCTCGAAAAATTCCGGCGTACGCTACTGCTTAGAATTATGACAAGGCCACCCAAACATAGGTCGGGTCGGGGCAAATGGGTGAGGGGGATAGGGTGCTGCAGTCCACGAGAATTATAACAACATTTAATCATCACACTGTGGGCACCAAGATGACGTTTTTTCCTTTCTATTTTCATTAGTGGTGGAATTTAAGATGCGTGAAGTATTTATCATAAGGTCATCACTTTCTAGTCTTTAATTTCTTCCCGTAATAAACATCTCGGCTCTTATATGTTCTTTCACGTGAATCTAGATCGAATTGAAGCTAGATCTACATTATTAAGACTGATCGCGCCAACAATCTGAAAGTAAGAATGAAGGATTATAAAGAAGCAATGTACCTAGTCGTGTGTATTCTCTCAAAGTTGGGAATTCTTTCCTTCTCATTCTTTATTTCCCTCTCTTTCTCTTTCTCCCACAAACATGTATACTGCACACACGCACGCATTCTCTCTTTCCCTCCCATCACCGCTCCCTGTCTTACTCTTTTGCCCCTCTTTTTCTCTCTCTATATAAATATTTTAATTCCTCCACCCCCCCCCCCCCCCCCCTCCCTCCCCCATTCCCCTTCTCTCTCTTGTTTGTCTCTCGCTCTCTCTCTCTCTCTATCTCTCTTTCTCTCTATCACACTAACGCACACACACACATACACACACTCGTACACACATAATCTCTCCCTCTCTCTCTCTCGCTCTCTCTCTCTCTCTCTCTCTATCTCTGTCTACCCTACTCTCATTTCCCCGTCCATAATGCTTTCTCAATTCTAATGTGTTCTTTTTTTCTTGTATCTTTTCCATGTCGTATACAACACGGACTTGTGGACCGCTACAGGCTTTGCGTCGACACACCCAACGTCATGGTTGTTCCTCCCTCGGCTTCAGTGACAAAGAAACCTACAAGCTGAACAAAATAATTACAAATCCGAGCTACCTTCGGAATATCTACGTCTCCGAAAGATACCGAACCATCATCTGTCTCATTCCGAAAGCAACCAGCATGAACTGGGTGAGAACTCTAATGATACTAGAGGGCGCGATCAACTCGACGAATGGCTTGGCGCCGCAAGAAATAGTACATGCAGCCAAGAAGCATCTCCGCGTGCTAGGCCAGTATAAACCTGACAAGAGGCTTGGTATATTACGGAATTACTCGTCGGCGATCTTCGTGCGCAATCCGTATTCCCGTCTTCTGTCCGCTTTCCGTGACAGACTGGAGAAGTACCCCAATCGGAATCTGTCACATCGTAAATGGTTTAACAAAAATATCTATTTGAAGTTCGGGAACCATTCTCCCGCAGAGATGCCGGATCGGTCGATGCCAAGCGAGAAATACAACGTCACTTTCAAAGAATTCGTGGACTTTTACCTGAGTGTAAAAAAAACTCAGGACGTGCACTGGCGAGAACAATACAAAGTCTGCCCACCATGTTTCGATTACGATTATATCGGCAACGTCGAAACGTACGCAGACGATTTTAAGCAAACCGTTCAGATATTTGATGCCACTTCGAAAGTGCCACTTGTGAAAGCGCCACATGCGACCAATAGTTCTGAGGATGGCGTCTTGCGGAGGTATTATGAAACACTGTCGGATCTTCAAATGAAGAAGCTTGAAAAGCTGTTGAGTTCGGATATGAAATTGTTCGGTTATTCGATTCCTCGAGCAATTCAAAGAAATTCATTTTAAGCCTCGTTCACATGCACAAAACGCGGCAAAACCGCGGCAGAATTTTAACCACGTTAATGATGACGTAGAGTAATGCACTTCACGTTGCTGTATCTTATGACACAGCTAGAGCTCGGTCAATATGCGCAGGATCTTCGTGGCACACAGTTTAATTAATTTAAATTTAAATTTAATCGTATTTCGTTTCCAGTGGTTCACCGCGGCATATCTGAACAAGCCTTCAATGTCAGTGTTGATACCTTCCAATTAAAGTATCATTACACATGTTAAGCATGATGTATTACTCCATATCCTTAAAAAAAATATTTTAAACAAATCATAGATATATAATAATGGTATAAGGGACATTATAGATGCTATGTTATTGGACCTAATTATGTTCATGACCAATGATTAGATAAGAAAGTCTAGATCAAACGGAAATATATATGTTTGCCAAAAACAAAACAAAACAACAAAAAATCGAAATTGTATTGTCGAAAAATACATGTCAATATAACGAGTACAAAAAAAGCAATTGTATTTCCCCTTTTCTTCATTATTATGGCTATCGCTGTCACACATGTTTTTCCTTTCAAAAAGTATATACAACATTATGCTATTAAAGCTCCGGAGTCTTATCTCAAAGGAGAATGACAGCCCACGAGACCGCCACAGCCGGTCTCGTTTTAAGGAAGGTTAAGGTTTGGGATCAGGTATAGTAATGGGTCTACGGTTGAAGCTAGAAATTCGAGCTCACTTTGATCCATCAGATCTCCGCGTCGGATTTGGTCGTTAGGTTTACTTTCGTTAAAACATACCTCTATATTCACGAAAGGTCTGGTAAATTGAGAGCAAATAATCAAAACGATTCCAAAGATGACTCTTTAGATGTCACTCTAAATGTACATTTGTGAAAACATGCCGATACACCCAGAAAATGACGAAGTACCGATCGCTCGCCTTTTTTAACGAAATCCTATGATCATTTATCGCGTCTCGCGGTGAACGAAATATTGTGACGAGAATAAACGAAGACAGCAGTATGGTCAGCTTTCAAACGTGTGCGCTATCAGCCATCAAATCGGAAATATCGTCAATCAAATTTACTGCTATGTTTAAACATATCAATGATAACAATATGTCGTCAATTTGTCACGAATTATCATCTAATTAAATGACCAAGATGAAAAGGTTCGCAGTTTGTGATTCAAGAGTAACCCACTGTCGCTCAGAAGATGTGTCAAATATTCTGATACGATAGTGGTACTACTCCACATCCCCGAGATTTAAATGAACTGAGAAGAGAAATAAATATAACTTGCATTGTGATCTTTAATATTCATTTGAGTTTAATTGAATTGAATTGAATTCATTATTCTTCTGCAAAATTAAATTAACAATTCAGCAATATAACATATTTACTACACACATTTATCTACTGCTTTGTCCTTTTTATTTATGTGGTAATGTAGAAATTTCCTTATTTGTTTGTTAACCAAAGTATTTAGAGATACCATACGTGTGAAAGTTTTAAACATGTAGTCAGGGACCGCATCACTAAAATGGTCTTGTTGGGACTAGGATACATTCACTGAGTTCATGTAGTTTTCTCCAATTTTAATACTTGTTTACTTTTTATATCATGAATCAGACGCCGAATATGTTTTAATTGTATGTTGGAAAAAATTTATTTTCAGGTAAATTCTATGTACATTATAGTTTGTAAGACGAGAAGTGGATGAATATGTAAGACCTTGGTCAAGAGAGAGGGTGGATAATGAGAGATGATAATGCTGAAGGTGTCAGTAAGAGGAAGGTCAGGAGGTTCCGAGTTTAGGAGAGAATTGTAGTGAATCTACTGTAGTTTCGAGGAATGTACAATTAAAATCACATGTGATTAAAGATAAACTTTAGTACTGGTATTAATGCGATTTTTTTTTACAAACCAGGTTTGTAAAAAACGCGTCAAAACGCGTCATATGACGTACATAAACCTCGGTTTGTCGACAAACCTCCTTTGTGAATTCGGGCCTGAGTGGCTAACGGTGATAATGTATAGTTCGACTAGCGCACACTTGCTGCACACAGACAATGGGTTTTGCTCCGTGAGTGTGAGTTTGCTCACGCATGTATAAAAAGTTTTACTCTTTAAATAGACAATTGAGTTATGTTTAATGAGATGTATATAGCAGTAGAATAATTAAAGGAATTATAGTACATGTAATTGAGTGTGAGATGTTATAAAGTGATTTAGTAATAGCCTACAGGGTGCACAGTGAAGCACATTGTTGAATGTTGCTCGGCATGGTTTTTTTTCGTTGTTTATTTAGTGGATGGTGACTAGTCTAGGTGTCAGACCTTACTTGGTCAGAACCAGTTCATGAGTATACATCAAATTATATGGTTTTGATATTTACAACTATGTAATACAATAATATCATCAATAGAGATATGTTTTGGGTTGGGTTATATAGTAGAGGATGCATTAGTGCAGGTAGCATTGGCCAAATGACCATACTAAATGATTGATATGTATGTCTTAAATCTCTAGGGGGTCTGCAGTATTAGAGACCTGTGTTCACTAGCAGTTAGCAGCACCTTAATTATTGAGTAGTTGAGCTGGATCACAGCCGAGGATACTCCAGGTATGAGTTAGTCTTTTATGTGAATATGTTGTTAAAAGACAAAGGTTATATTGGTAGTTTTGTTTTATGTAAACAAAAGCTTAAGTAGCTAATTATCATTATGTATATGAATGTCAATAGACCCATGTAGTCTTTAATTATTTTGTATGGTTACTCACGATACTAGGAGTATGAGTCATCGCTAGTAGTCACATTATTATTCTTTCCATTGTTGATTCATTATTTACCCTTGTTGAAGATGCAAATTGTCGTTCTGTGATTAAATTATAGGGGAAGATGTATTCTATAGTAGTCGTAGTTATAAGAGAAGTATATCCGGAATATCGATTATGTCACTTACTAACTATACACTGTATGATGGTTCTTCATAATAATCACATTATCAGTTATTCAAGTTCAGGATACATTGTAATAATTGAGTATTTTATCTGAAACGACTTTAAAGACTTGTGTTTCTGTGGAAACACACAATACATTTTAGTTGTTGTTCATTGTAGTTACAGTTATATTGCCGAAATTAGTACCTGCAAACAATAAGGATAATTGTATTTTGTTTCAAAGAGTTCACATAGTTCCAGAAGAGTGACTGTATAGAATGGCAAGGGGTGAGACTGTGTCTAACAGTGGTTGTTGTTCAGTTTAAACCTTAGTTGGGTGAGTCAGTCAGAATGGCCAAGTTATGTTGATTGTTTGTTTTAAGGAATAAACAGTTGGATTCATTTAATTGGATTGATGTTAACGAATAGTGATAAAAGAGTCATATGTTCATATGGATAGATAGATGATAGATAAATGGTTTATTCAAATCAAATCAAACATGTAAACAATAAATGTTCATTAATTCCATGCTTCGTAGCTAAAAACTAAATTGCGCAATGGATTACAGAATTAATTATTACAAGGTAAAATTGCACTTACTAATAATAAACTACTATAGATAATAATGCAACTCTTGGCACCGGCGTCGAACCGCTGCCATGTGTTTCTATAATAAGATAACAGATGATGATGTACATGTATATTATAATCAGTGATCTAATATTGATGCATCATCTTGAAGTGCTTGAAGATGACCGTGGCCTCTGCCGAGTTTACAAAATAAAAGAACAACCATGCAACTGCATTGTATTCAATGTTAAATAAGATATAAGTGAAGTGATTAAAAGTGAGCATGGCTGAATTAATTTTGATTGAAAATAACAAAACATATTTAGTGAAATATTTCGTGCTGAGAAGTGCATTTGTGCAAGGTGCAAAAATTTAGCTTGGTGGAACAAAAAGAGACTTAATACCGTGATATTAATTGTGTGTTGGTTTTAGTTACGGGTGTTAATAATAAATATATGCAGGGTCCATTCCTGTTGACAAACTAAGACAGAACAATTCAAGACATAACACATTTAAATTTCTATGTAAGGTCTAGTAAACTTGAAACTGAAAGAACAGATTATTAAACAAGTCTCCTCATTTAACTACCTCGGCAGCATGATCACCGAGGATGCCAGATGTGAGACAGAGATCAAGAGAAGGATAGCTCTCGCTAAATTTGCATTTTCAAAGCTAGGCAAAATTCTGACAAATCGAACAATGAGTATGAGGACCAGAATAAGATTATTGAATTGTTACATCTACCCAGTACTTATGTATGGTAGTGATACATGGACTTCAGCCTCTGATACTAATAAAAGCGTTTGGAAAGTTGCAAAATTTGGTTTTTAAGAAGAATGATGAAAATCCCCTGGACTGACAAAGTTAGTAATGAGGAAGTTCTTGCACGAGCTGGAGTGCAAAAGAAACTGATACGTGAGATGTTGATTAGGCAGTTGAAGTTCATGGGTCACATTACACGTAAAAAAGGCCTAGAGAATCTTGCTTTGACAGGGAAAATTGTGGAAAGAAGGAGCAGGGGAAAAAGGAGGATACTTTGGATGGACAGTCTGCAGAAATTGTTGGAAGAGAGAGGATTGAAAGAACTGGGAGTGGTACTAATACAGAAGGCTAGGAACCGAGGGTTGTGGAACAGCATGATCGCCAAAGTCAATCGTTATGGCACTTAGAGAGAGAGAGACTAAACTATAAACTGAGTTAACAAAAATTAATGTGTGATGTGATGTATCATATTTTTTTTACACAACTGTTTAGCCATTTTTGCGAAAAAATTCCAAGAAGTTCTCTGGTGAAAGAGTCTAGGTCGTCAGCGCACTGTGTGCAAGCACGTACATCCAGGGAAGGGAAGATGATAGAAAGGGGAAAACAAGGATAGAGGAGAGGATTTGGAGAAGGAAAAACAAGGAAATACATAAGGAAAGAGAAGAGGATAAGTCAAAGGAAGAACATAGAAATACAAAATTGAAGAGCTAAGAGGATCATAGATCTAGACTAAGGAAAAACAGGCAAATACATAAAGAAGGAGAAAGGGAATCTATCAGATTAAAACAAAGAAATAGATGCATGACGAAGGAGAAAAGGATAGATTGAAGGAGAAACAAAGAAATACATAAAACAAAAGAGAAGAGATTAGAATAAAAGAGAACAAAATAATTACAGAACGAATGAGAACTGGGGGATAGATTGAAGGAAAAACAAAGAAAATTAACGAAGGAGAAAAGGGATAGATTGAAGATTTAAAAAAGAAATACATGACAAAAGAGAAGAGGATAGATTGAAGAAGAACACAAAAATACATAATGAAAGAGAAGAGAGCAAGGATAGATATAACCCGAAACAAATAACGAGTATGTATTATGTACAACTCCAGCAATCCAACAAAACTGCTGAGGGTAATGCTAGACTCTGTCTCTAGTCGTTTGCACAGTATATTTGACTGAAGTGGCTAAACAGTTGTGTAAAAAAAAATATGCTCGGCCGGTTTGACCTTTATTTATATTCCCTACACTTGACTCAAGCCGCCGAAGATGGCGTTATCAACGAACTCATTATGCTCACCAGCCCAGCCTAAGCCTTCGCAAGCATTATAATCGAATCTCTTTTATCATAATTATAGGCCTACATACCATCGAGATATATTTTAAAAAGCAAATATCTCTCTGTGTATCTCTATGCCTTATACAAAAGTCATAGACACCATCATGAACTATGTTGGTTTGTAATATTAACAGTCATAGTGCACCGTGCATAAAAAGGATTTTCACCAGCCTGGCGCCAAA